GACTTCAATGAACTGAGGGAGGAACCGTGAAAGTGAAAAATGATGGTAGATGGTTAAGAGACTCAACATCACCCATGACATAGGTCAATTCCTCTAAAAATGTATAAGAGACACTGTCAGAGGTCCATAGAGTACATTGATCACTTGTACAGAAACCCCTGCAACAGTTTATCTCAAGGATGTGTATAGAATGAGATCATAAAGTCAATGAGTATGAGCATTCAGAATGTGCTATGAGCAAAGAAGAATGAAATCTTGCAAGTAGCGTGAGAGGTGTTCATATGAGTCTAAATACAGAGACGACATGAATCAATGACAATTAGATTATAGTATCCCACACATAAAGCCAATCACCCTCACCCACTCAAGTAACAAGTCACACCCTAGTGACTGAGCACTACACCCAAGGTCTTTCTAAGGAACTCAAACCTAAGAAGATCAAGTGGTTTTGTAAAAATGTCAACCTTTTGGTGCTCAGTGGGTACATGTTCAAGAACAACAAAGCCCTCTTCCATTAACTCTCTAATGAAATGATAACGAATGTCAATATGTTTGGTGCGAGAGTGTTGGACTGGATTTTTAGAGATGTTTATGGCATTTGCATTATCACATAAAAGAGTGAGAGTGTCCTTGTTTATACCATAATCATGAAGCATTTGCTTCATCCACAACATTTGTGCATAACAACTCCCTGCGGCAATGTACTTAGCCTCAGCGATCGAAAGAGAGATTGTATTTTGCTTTTTGCTATGCCAGGCAACCAAATTATTCTCAAGGTTAAAACACCCTCCAGACGTGGTCTTACGATCATCAGTACAACCTGCCTAGTCGGCATCAGAAAAACCATTGATTTCGGCTATAGTATCGGTTGAGAACCAAATCCCATACTCCAATGTCCCATTAACATATTTGATGACGTGTTTGACAGCAAGAAGATGAGACTCTTTAGGATAGGCTTGGTAATGGGCACAAACACCTACACTAAATACAATCTCAGGTCAACTGGTTGTGAGGTACAAAAGACTCCCTAACATACTCCTATAAAGGGTAGGATCAACATCAGTACCAGAGGAATCTTTGGAAAGGTGAAGACTAGTGCTCATAGGAGTACGTGCATTTGTGGCCGACTCTAGACCGAACTTAGACACAAGATTTTTAGCATACTTGGTCTGAGAGACATACATACCCGAAGGAAACTATTTAATTAGAAGACCCAAGAAGTAAGACAACTACCTGATCATGCTCATTTCAAACTCATGTGTCATGTAATCTGAGAAATATTTCACGAGATAATCATAAGTGGATCCAAACACAATATCATCAACATAAATCTGAGCAACAAGTATGTGAGACTTAGTATGTTTCACAAATAAGGTCTTGTCTACACTACCCCTTTGAAAATCATTATCAAGAAGGAAGGTAGTAAGTTTATCATACCAAGCTTGAGGGGCTTGCTTCAACCCATACAACGCCTTGTCTAACTTGTAGACATGATATGGACATTTTGGGTCATCAAACCCTTTTGGTTGCTTAACATAAGTCTCTTCTTTCAAGTACCCTGTAGACACCCCATTTTTGACCGCCCTTATGACTTGGGCGCCACCCATTGCTCACCCAATGATGAATACATACGCTTGTCCACATGCTCAATGTCCTCAGCAAGAAACCTTCGTTTTGGACGTACAAACCTTGTGCCTTGTTTTGGGCCAAAACAGTAGTTTTTCAAGCCTAATCATCAAGGGACCTGCAGACCCACTAGTGACTCCAGCCGCCAACTATTAGTGACTGACCACCCCCTTTTAGTGGCCTACCGGCCACTTATACCTGCAAACCCACTTGTGACTCCAGCCACCCACTATTGGCGGCCTGCTGGCCACTTGTGTAAAATTTCAAATCTTTTTGCCAACTGTCTCCTTACGTGCATACATGATACCAGTTGTATGTATACAAATATTTCTAAGAGCCAAACCAAATTTTCTATATATACTTTACCCTCTCTCATAATTTAGGGTTGAAAAAATTTTGGAACAAAAGTTTGGAAAATATTTCTCTCCACAATTTTCTCTCTCCCTTGCAACTTTTATATCCTTTGCTTAGGCACTCTAAACCAAACCTTGAGGGTTCTTTGTTGAGGTGTTTGAGCTTGTAATTTAGCTCTTGAGGGTATGGAATTGTTGGTTTGTAACTTAAAAGGCTATTCTCTTCAAAAGGTATAATTCTTAGCTTTCTTACCTTATTTATTTACTCTCTTTTCCTATTGTTTTTAGGTTGGTTTTACCCTGTTTTTATGGGCCAAAGCTTGTGGTCTAAAACCATTAAGGGTAGAGGAGTGGACCTCCCCTCTTTGACCCTTGCTTCCTAGGCTTTTACCCATGTGTTTCCCACCTTTTCATTATCATTTTTTGAGCTTTTTACCATTGATTTTCAGAGGTTTTCAGAAGCTAAAAATCATGTTTTGAATTCCCAAAAGTGGAGGGGGTAGCTTCCCCTCCTTGTGCTTAATTACTAGCTTAATTACTCTCTTTGTTTTAGCTTCCTTTCTTAGCTGTTTTTGCCTTAATTCCAACACTGTTTTGAGCTAACTTAGGACTATTTTTTTGTGTTAATTTCATTTATGCCTTGTATTGCATGCTTGTAGTGTAATGGTCCTCATAGGCTTGGTGGTTTAGGCCTTAGCCACCAACCTATTTGAGTTGATAGCATTTATTTCTTGCTTTCCATAACTTATGTTCACCTCTAAGCATCTCTGTAATCTCCCTCCTTTCTTGGCCTTTTCTTTTTGTTTTGAGGGTTGTTTCAAAAGGAGTGTTGTTTAAGCTTGAGGGCTATTATTGTGCTTAATGGTTTAATCCCTTTGGGGTTCATTACCAAGGGCATGATCTCCCTCTCATGCCTAAAACAACACTTGGTTTGACACTTCCCTCTTTTAGTGGACTTAAAGCTCATTTTTGGACTAAAATGACTAATGGATGGAAAGGTAACTAAAAGAGGCAATCAATGGTTTAAAAAAATGGAACAAGACAATAAAAAGGTTTGGGTTCGATCGGATGTTAATTGAACCCATTGAGTCTTGATTCGTTTCATACTTGTTAGTGATGAAAACGGTTCAAGAATCAATGTCAACTCTTTCCTTTCCCTTGATCAATCTATGATAGGGAGGAGTTTTTGAGAGTCTTTCATTGTGCATTTATAGAAATTGTATCCCTTGGTTCATAAGTCATCACGTAATGAAATTGTATCGATTAATGGCTTGTGAATCAAGCCTACCTCTCCTTTGAGCTGTGTGATGATAAGGAGAGGCAGGGTGGGCAAACATCCTCTGAGAATACTCTGTTTGTGCTCTATTTATTGTCTGTTACAGCAGGAGAAACCTACCATTAGTGGCCGGCAGGCCACCTTTACTGGGCGGCAAGCCACTATTAGTGGTCAGCCGACCACTACTTCTAGCCTACCGGCCACTTTTTCCAACAAGGCAGTGTGTTGTTTTCCGCAAAACAAAGCAAAAACTGAGGTGAAAAAATTGGTGTAATCTCCTGACTGTGCAACAGAAGCATTCCGGTAGCGAAACAGAGAGCATTTTCGGGAGAAAACCCACATCCATGCATGAACCATCCCTCGATTCTCGAGATCCGTTAAAATAATGATGTAATAGTAATACGTTCACTGCAGGAAATTCAGCTTTTAGCGGCATTTAAAAAACGCCGCTATAAGTGTTAAAAACACCGCTAATTCTTTTTGTGACGCTTAGCATCAAGCGCCGAGGACGCGACCGTCGCTATAACTTCCTGACGTTTTAAAAACGTCGTTATTAGTATAGGCAGCGTTTTTAAAATGTCTTACTTGACAATACCATGATGTCATTATGATATTTAGCAACATTTTTTAAACGTCGTCATATCTTTTTTAAAAAATCTAACCGTTAATATTTTGGGTTTTAAGTGGCGTTTTTAAAAAAACGCCGTGATATCTCCTTTTTTTTTAAATTGTGCTAATTTATGTGATTAAACTAAAAAAATACATATAATAAAAATGAATAACACTAATATGAAATAATAACTTACATTCAAATAGCAAATGCATCATTAATTCGCTTTCCCATTCACCAATCACCATTACCCACAAAATAACATATCCACAAATGATATTTTAATATTACCCCCAAAATAACATATCGAAAAATTGTATTCACAATTCTCAACCAAAAAATTAATTACTACTTTGTATACAAAGCCACAAAATTGCTATCAGTCAAAATATATTATATATAAGAGGACTAAATTTCCAATAGAAATCTTATATAGTAAGTTTTTTGAGTGAATACAGTCTCGTATCCAGAATACAAAATTGCTATCATTTGATCAATTATCTCTTCATTTGTTAGATTATATCTGTTTTTTTCACCCCCATTCATTAGGAGACCAAGCATGTCGTGTTTGGTTTCTTGGCAAGCTCTTCTTTCCTCTACGGGTCGTCTCAGCATGCTACAGATAAGATCAATGAAATATTCCATATCTTCAAAACTAGAAAGGTGCCATCATCATTATTTCACATAAATTTATGAGCACACATCAGCATTATGAAAAGTTCAAAAAACTATTGCATTCAGCAGCACTGTCACGTATGTTTGACTGCTCAAGCAGGTGTTGGTAACCAACTCATGTTGTTCAATGCTAAAACAATTTAACGGGAAAGAAACTAACTTTTATTTAGTGTTGTTGTTTCACTGAATGTTCAGAATCGTATGTAATAAAAACAAAAGCATACAGCAGGGAGAGAATCACCTGTTGTTTGAAATTTCCATTGTGAAGTTGTTGGCCACTAAATTACTGCATATTACACCCCAGTAAATCTCAATGTCAGTTTCAGTTTCAAGGGTACAAGTTAATGTAGAAACTGTCAGTTTCAGTTTTAGTTTCAAGGGTACTAGGATTGTTGCCTTGCCTATTACATGATTTTCTTGCACACATAGCAGGGTTGTCTAAAAAATATGTTGCTATTGATAAAAATCAAATGGCAAAAATGATTAATCTCTGATGAATTGCAACTTAAAAAAAGAATGACAACTAATTCAATTGATGAAGAAAGATACAAGCAGCATATTTTCCACCCTATTAAGAATGTATAATATCATGTTGCATGATTATATAAAGAGATTACCATGAAGAACCACACTGCATGAAGTAGTGGCTAAGATTGATTAATAATGGACAAAAAAAATCTTAAAACTTTATTTACTCCATAAGGGGAAAAATTATCCTTTAAACCCTAGGACTTGCGATTACGGCTTTGTTGCTAGGTTGTAAACAGAAAACTTTTTGAAGGGTCTTTATTCTTTTAAGAGTTTTCCCAACTTTGTTATCCTGATTTAGAGCCACAATACATTGAAAACAAAGATAATAAATAAATCAATGTAAAGGCTGGTTAACACATTCAGTATACCGCATCTACTTATTGAAACCAGATTACAGACTGCTAGAATTTAAAAGTGAAGATTTAAGCACAAATACTCTTAACACAAGCTAACTCAGATTAATCATATGCAACAAAAGAATTGAGACAAATTACCTGCAAGGCCCTCCCATACATCCGACGTTTCCGAAGGTTGAGCATGGCCAAGGCTATCTCAGGTCAATTCAAGTCATTTCCCTCCTCAACCCACTTATCCAAAGCACTTTGAACAGACAAACCTGGAGCAGCCATGATAGCCTTGAACAATGCTGAAGAAGCTCTCTTTTGTGGAGGTCTTTTCTCAGTTACTTCTACCTCAGTATCAAATAATTCCAGGTCATTTTGAGGTTCTTCTACACCATCACCATCATCTTCTTCTTCAGAGAGCTCTGGTTCGGAAATCAATTGATCTTCGTTTAAATCGTCAACATTGCTGTCTTGAACCACATCAGCAGCACTAGCTGCAGTCTCAAGCTCAGAAAACCCATCCTCCAAATCATCTTCTTCTTGTGCACTGCTTTTTGTGTCAGCCTGTGAAGAAAAACTGCAACACCCCATAAAGAAATTTGGGGAACCATGTGCTGCACTGTAAAATCTCTTCAAAGAGATGCATCCATCAGATGCTACTAGGCGAGAATCAACATTACTGGCTTTGACATCTAAACAACAACTTGCTACTTCTGATTTAGCACAACAAGCTCTAGAAGTTCCGATGCCAAGCACTCGATTCCTGAATGCAGTCAATGAAAGCAATTATGAAACCAAAACATGAATCAGTAACAGGCATGCAACCAATATTCAAAATTGCATTAATTTATTGTTTGTAAATTATATGTACGTATCATATCCATTCCTTTTTGTCTCTTTTTCAAGAGACTATCCACATAAATGCCTCACCAAGAAAAACAACAAATTACCTATTACTTCGACAAAATATATAAATTTGGTTAATATAATTATCCATTAAAAGCGTTAAAAAGGGTGCAACCTTTATTGAGCAAATCAGCAGTTAAATTGAATGCATTAAATGCAGATCAATTTCAATCATCCATTGCACTATTACTTCGACAAAATCATGTTAGTAACACACTGAAATCACTCACCCACGGAAGGTAAGCTGCTGTAAAAGTAAAGAGACCCAAGAAACTCATGTGGATAAAAGGATTTTGCTTGCTCCAAACATCGACCTGTAAAATGGGGCAAAATGTAACAAGCTTTCCAAAACAGTTAATGCATAAAGGGTTTATCAATTAGAAATGTTTTATATGTAAACCGAGAAACACTAACCATCATGAATGTCAATGAATTGCTCATGTCTGTGGGTAGCAATACCATGGCTAGGCCCTTGCCTGGGGGTAATAATACCACGGCTAGGCCCTCGCTTGGGGGTAATAATACCACGGCTAGGCCCTCGCTTGGGGGTAATAATACCACGGCTAGGCCCTCGCTTGGGGGTAATAATACCACGGCTAGGCCCTCGCTTGGGGGTAATAATACCACGGCTAGGCCCTCGCTTGGGGGTAATAATACCACGGCTAGGCCCTCGCTTGGGGGTAATAATACCACGGCTAGGCCCTCGCCTGGGGGTAGCAATACCCTGGCTAAGGCCTCGCCTGGGTGTAATAATACCATGGCTAGGCCCTTGCCTGGGTGTAACAATACCATGGTTAGGCACTTGTCTGTGGGTAGCAATACCATGGCTAGGCCCTTGCCTGGGGGTAATAATACCACGGCTAGGCCCTCGCTTGGGGGTAATAATACCACGGCTAGGCCCTCGCTTGGGGGTAATAATACCACGGCTAGGCCCTCGCTTGGGGGTAATAATACCACGGCTAGGCCCTCGCTTGGGGGTAATAATACCACGGCTAGGCCCTCGCTTGGGGGTAATAATACCACGGCTAGGCCCTCGCTTGGGGGTAATAATACCACGGCTAGGCCCTCGCCTGGGGGTAGCAATACCCTGGCTAAGGCCTCGCCTGGGTGTAATAATACCATGGCTAGGCCCTTGCCTGGGTGTAACAATACCATGGTTAGGCACTTGTCTGTGGGTAGCAATACCATGGCTAGGCCCTTGCCTGGGGGTAATAATACCACGGCTAGGCCCTCGCTTGGGGGTAATAATACCACGGCTAGGCCCTCGCTTGGGGGTAATAATACCACGGCTAGGCCCTCGCTTGGGGGTAATAATACCACGGCTAGGCCCTCGCTTGGGGGTAATAATACCACGGCTAGGCCCTCGCTTGGGGGTAATAATACCACGGCTAGGCCCTCGCTTGGGGGTAATAATACCACGGCTAGGCCCTCGCCTGGGGGTAGCAATACCCTGGCTAAGGCCTCGCCTGGGTGTAATAATACCATGGCTAGGCCCTTGCCTGGGTGTAACAATACCATGGTTAGGCACTTGTCTGTGGGTAGCAATACCATGGCTAGGCCCTTGCCTGGGGGTAATAATACCACGGCTAGGCCCTCGCTTGGGGGTAATAATACCACGGCTAGGCCCTCGCTTGGGGGTAATAATACCACGGCTAGGCCCTCGCTTGGGGGTAATAATACCACGGCTAGGCCCTCGCTTGGGGGTAATAATACCACGGCTAGGCCCTCGCTTGGGGGTAATAATACCACGGCTAGGCCCTCGCTTGGGGGTAATAATACCACGGCTAGGCCCTCGCCTGGGGGTAGCAATACCCTGGCTAAGGCCTCGCCTGGGTGTAATAATACCATGGCTAGGCCCTTGCCTGGGTGTAACAATACCATGGTTAGGCACTTGTCTGTGGGTAGCAATACCATGGCTAGGCCCTTGCCTGGGGGTAATAATACCACGGCTAGGCCCTCGCTTGGGGGTAATAATACCACGGCTAGGCCCTCGCTTGGGGGTAATAATACCACGGCTAGGCCCTCGCTTGGGGGTAATAATACCACGGCTAGGCCCTCGCTTGGGGGTAATAATACCACGGCTAGGCCCTCGCTTGGGGGTAATAATACCACGGCTAGGCCCTCGCTTGGGGGTAATAATACCACGGCTAGGCCCTCGCCTGGGGGTAGCAATACCCTGGCTAAGGCCTCGCCTGGGTGTAATAATACCATGGCTAGGCCCTTGCCTGGGTGTAACAATACCATGGTTAGGCACTTGTCTGTGGGTAGCAATACCATGGCTAGGCCCTTGCCTGGGGGTAATAATACCACGGCTAGGCCCTCGCTTGGGGGTAATAATACCACGGCTAGGCCCTCGCTTGGGGGTAATAATACCACGGCTAGGCCCTCGCTTGGGGGTAATAATACCACGGCTAGGCCCTCGCTTGGGGGTAATAATACCACGGCTAGGCCCTCGCTTGGGGGTAATAATACCACGGCTAGGCCCTCGCTTGGGGGTAATAATACCACGGCTAGGCCCTCGCCTGGGGGTAGCAATACCCTGGCTAAGGCCTCGCCTGGGTGTAATAATACCATGGCTAGGCCCTTGCCTGGGTGTAACAATACCATGGTTAGGCACTTGTCTGTGGGTAGCAATACCATGGCTAGGCCCTTGCCTGGGGGTAATAATACCACGGCTAGGCCCTCGCTTGGGGGTAATAATACCACGGCTAGGCCCTCGCTTGGGGGTAATAATACCACGGCTAGGCCCTCGCTTGGGGGTAATAATACCACGGCTAGGCCCTCGCTTGGGGGTAATAATACCACGGCTAGGCCCTCGCTTGGGGGTAATAATACCACGGCTAGGCCCTCGCTTGGGGGTAATAATACCACGGCTAGGCCCTCGCCTGGGGGTAGCAATACCCTGGCTAAGGCCTCGCCTGGGTGTAATAATACCATGGCTAGGCCCTTGCCTGGGTGTAACAATACCATGGTTAGGCACTTGTCTGTGGGTAGCAATACCATGGCTAGGCCCTTGCCTGGGGGTAATAATACCACGGCTAGGCCCTCGCTTGGGGGTAATAATACCACGGCTAGGCCCTCGCTTGGGGGTAATAATACCACGGCTAGGCCCTCGCTTGGGGGTAATAATACCACGGCTAGGCCCTCGCTTGGGGGTAATAATACCACGGCTAGGCCCTCGCTTGGGGGTAATAATACCACGGCTAGGCCCTCGCTTGGGGGTAATAATACCACGGCTAGGCCCTCGCCTGGGGGTAGCAATACCCTGGCTAAGGCCTCGCCTGGGTGTAATAATACCATGGCTAGGCCCTTGCCTGGGTGTAACAATACCATGGTTAGGCACTTGTCTGTGGGTAGCAATACCATGGCTAGGCCCTTGCCTGGGGGTAATAATACCACGGCTAGGCCCTCGCTTGGGGGTAATAATACCACGGCTAGGCCCTCGCTTGGGGGTAATAATACCACGGCTAGGCCCTCGCTTGGGGGTAATAATACCACGGCTAGGCCCTCGCTTGGGGGTAATAATACCACGGCTAGGCCCTCGCTTGGGGGTAATAATACCACGGCTAGGCCCTCGCTTGGGGGTAATAATACCACGGCTAGGCCCTCGCCTGGGGGTAGCAATACCCTGGCTAAGGCCTCGCCTGGGTGTAATAATACCATGGCTAGGCCCTTGCCTGGGTGTAACAATACCATGGTTAGGCACTTGTCTGTGGGTAGCAATACCATGGCTAGGCCCTTGCCTGGGGGTAATAATACCACGGCTAGGCCCTCGCTTGGGGGTAATAATACCACGGCTAGGCCCTCGCTTGGGGGTAATAATACCACGGCTAGGCCCTCGCTTGGGGGTAATAATACCACGGCTAGGCCCTCGCTTGGGGGTAATAATACCACGGCTAGGCCCTCGCTTGGGGGTAATAATACCACGGCTAGGCCCTCGCTTGGGGGTAATAATACCACGGCTAGGCCCTCGCCTGGGGGTAGCAATACCCTGGCTAAGGCCTCGCCTGGGTGTAATAATACCATGGCTAGGCCCTTGCCTGGGTGTAACAATACCATGGTTAGGCACTTGTCTGTGGGTAGCAATACCATGGCTAGGCCCTTGCCTGGGGGTAATAATACCACGGCTAGGCCCTCGCTTGGGGGTAATAATACCACGGCTAGGCCCTCGCTTGGGGGTAATAATACCACGGCTAGGCCCTCGCTTGGGGGTAATAATACCACGGCTAGGCCCTCGCTTGGGGGTAATAATACCACGGCTAGGCCCTCGCTTGGGGGTAATAATACCACGGCTAGGCCCTCGCTTGGGGGTAATAATACCACGGCTAGGCCCTCGCCTGGGGGTAGCAATACCCTGGCTAAGGCCTCGCCTGGGTGTAATAATACCATGGCTAGGCCCTTGCCTGGGTGTAACAATACCATGGTTAGGCACTTGTCTGTGGGTAGCAATACCATGGCTAGGCCCTTGCCTGGGGGTAATAATACCACGGCTAGGCCCTCGCTTGGGGGTAATAATACCACGGCTAGGCCCTCGCTTGGGGGTAATAATACCACGGCTAGGCCCTCGCTTGGGGGTAATAATACCACGGCTAGGCCCTCGCTTGGGGGTAATAATACCACGGCTAGGCCCTCGCTTGGGGGTAATAATACCACGGCTAGGCCCTCGCTTGGGGGTAATAATACCACGGCTAGGCCCTCGCCTGGGGGTAGCAATACCCTGGCTAAGGCCTCGCCTGGGTGTAATAATACCATGGCTAGGCCCTTGCCTGGGTGTAACAATACCATGGTTAGGCACTTGTCTGTGGGTAGCAATACCATGGCTAGGCCCTTGCCTGGGGGTAATAATACCACGGCTAGGCCCTCGCTTGGGGGTAATAATACCACGGCTAGGCCCTCGCTTGGGGGTAATAATACCACGGCTAGGCCCTCGCTTGGGGGTAATAATACCACGGCTAGGCCCTCGCTTGGGGGTAATAATACCACGGCTAGGCCCTCGCTTGGGGGTAATAATACCACGGCTAGGCCCTCGCTTGGGGGTAATAATACCACGGCTAGGCCCTCGCCTGGGGGTAGCAATACCCTGGCTAAGGCCTCGCCTGGGTGTAATAATACCATGGCTAGGCCCTTGCCTGGGTGTAACAATACCATGGTTAGGCACTTGTCTGTGGGTAGCAATACCATGGCTAGGCCCTTGCCTGGGGGTAATAATACCACGGCTAGGCCCTCGCTTGGGGGTAATAATACCACGGCTAGGCCCTCGCTTGGGGGTAATAATACCACGGCTAGGCCCTCGCTTGGGGGTAATAATACCACGGCTAGGCCCTCGCTTGGGGGTAATAATACCACGGCTAGGCCCTCGCTTGGGGGTAATAATACCACGGCTAGGCCCTCGCTTGG